GACAGCCAGTTAAGCCTGTACCTAGAGTCGGCACGGTTTCGGCGTTACCTATTCTTCGCAGTCGGCCTCCAGTTTACAGAGGGCACTTGGCTGAACGACACCATTCGCGCATACCTGGCGCAGAGGGCTCGTGGGCGTTTTGGGTGCCTCTGGGGGGCCTTTGGGGGCCGCGTGGGGTCCTCTTGGCAGCCTCTTGGGGGCCCCTCGCTGGCCTCCTGGGTGGCCTCCTGGGGCCATATGGGAAGACATCGACCAACGTACTTGATCATCGCCGCCCCTCTACAGCTCCTAAAACATTTATTTGGGGCGTGTTTGGGGCGTTTTTGGGGCCGCCTTTGGGCTCCCTTGAGCCTCTCTTGGGGCCCTCTCGGGCCATCTTGGAGCCATCTTGAGGTTTCGGAAGGCCATCGGAAGCAAACGCGCGATAAAGCAATAGTCATGGAGTCTCATTTGTTTTAAAGAGAGGAGTTTGGTTTCTTGGGGGCCTCCTTGGGAGTTTCGGAGGCCTCTTGGAGCCGCTTTGGGGCGGTCTTGGGGCCTCTTGGAGCATCTTGGAAACCACTTTGAGCGAGCAGGACTATCTTCAGCCATCTTGGGGTTCATCTTGGGCTCTTTGGGGCCCTCTTGGAGCCATCTTGGGCGCTCCAACGCGTCGCGGGGCGCCCCGTCCAGGTCCAGGGAAGGGAGCAGGGGGAGGGGTGAAGCTACCCGCCCGCCCGCAAGCCGTCTAGCTCACTCCCACACTTCCCGCCCGCTCTCTCAACACATACGTAACACCCGAGCCTGAGCATGTTCAGCGGCTGTTTTTGGATGGTCAGCTACTGGGAACCAAAACCGACCGTAGGTGCGCGACGTTTGGGCGAGGTGCGCCACGCGAGCCAGGCTCGCCACGCGCGCCAAACACCCCTTGGGCCCGAGCGTGCCAGGCACGCCTGGTGCGCAAGATGCGTCACGTGCTCCGAGTGCGCCAAGTGCGCCGCACATTCCAGCCGCGCCAGGTGCGCCACGTTCGGGGCATGTGCAGGGTGCGGCAGGTGCGCCTGCGCACGTGACAGCTACCATCGGGAAACATGTGGGCCCCCACCATTTCTGTCGAAAACCAATGCCAATCATTGTGTCTGGCGGGCCTGCGCGCAGCAGGCCACACGCCACCACCCCCGCCGTCCCTGTCAAAAACCACTTGGCAGTGATCGCGGGGTGGCCGCGCACGATCGAGATTTAGTCGCGAGGCGCCTTTTGCATTTCTGTTGTCAGGGATGGTCGCCCTGCGCACAGCAGGGAATATGTTGTAACCCCCGCCGTCCCTGTCAAAAACGATACAAAGTGCTCGCGGGCCTCACGAGCATGATTGAAGACTTCGCCCCCCAAAACGTGTACTTTGCTTTGTTCTTTGAAAGGGATGGTGGGGGTGGCCGCATCGGGTTGGTTGAGCATGTTCCGGATGTGGAGGCAGAGTGAGTTTTGCTTTTTTGTTGACAGGGATGGTGGTGGGGGCGCATCGGGATGGCATGGTTCCGGGTTGGCCGCCGGACAGGCGGGGGAGGGGGTGTAAATCAATAGAGAACAGTGACAAGACCCTTCTCCGAAGGGGCCTCCGTAGACCACCTACGCCCTAAAGGGTAAGATGAGTGCGCGCGGCGCTAACGCGAGAACCTCAGTTGAAAACGACCCGCCTCCCATCTTTGAAACTCTTGCCAATGTTTAAGCAGCAGGGTCATGAATGGTGGGGAAGTCTCAGGCGAAACGAGCAGCCCGCCCTTTCGACCTGCCTCGGGGTGCGACAGGGAGGATCCATTTCTCAGGAGACGAAATGGAGGAGGAGGAGGAAGAGGAGGAGCAGCAGGAGGAGGAGGAGGTGGAGGAGGAAGAGGAGGAGGAGCAGCAGCAGCAGGTGGAGGAGGAGGTGGAGGAGGAAGATAAGGAGGAAGAGAAGGAGGAAGAGGAGGAGAGGGAGGAGGAGGAGGAGCAGCAGCAGGAGGAGGAAAAGGAGGCAAGGCAGGACGAGGGAACGGCTCGAGTGTCGTGCGTGCGGGGTGTGGGCCCAGGTCTCGGGATCGCCTCGGCCGCCCCGTCTTGCGCCTCGTCGCCCCGCCGTCGGGGTCTCCCCGTCACTGCCGTCGTTGATCGGAGGGGCCGAGGAGCGACAGCCCTGCAGCAGCGGGACGCCTCCGCCGACGGAGTCCACGCTGCCCCCCCGAGTTGGAAAGTGGGGATGCGTCGAGCGGGATGCCGCACCCCATCGAAGAAGAAACAAAACTTTTTGGTCTGCGGGTCGGGAGCGGGCCCCTTCCGGTCAAGGGCTAAACGGGACGCGGGTAGCCCTAATTGGGGAGACAGGGCGCGGGCGGGCGGGGCCTCAGGCGGCCGGAGGGCTCAGAAAACAGGCGGTGCCGAACAAGAAAGAAAGAAACAACACATAAACATAAACTGGCGCTGCGCGCGGATTTCTTGGATCCGCGCCCCGGCGGCGCCTCCAGCGCCGCCACCCGGCGCGATCCGCGCGCCAGGGAGGGGGTCCAGCGCGAATCCAAGAAATCTTCGCGGAGCGCCAACAGTTTATGCTTATGTAGTTGTTTGTTCTTCTCATCCAGGCGGACCACACCAACGGGAGGATGCCCCAATTCTTCATGCTCGGTGCCTGTTGTCGCTGGTCCTACGCTGTCGTGGACGGTGTCCGCCGCCTTCTCCTAAATCATCCATGCCTCGAACGTCCTTCGGGAAAAAGCATACAAAAAACACTGTCTGTGGGACAGAAAACACACCTGTGGGGAAAAACACACCTGTGTGTTTTCTTTCCCACTGTGTTTTTTTGTCCACTGTGTGTGTGTGTTTTTTTTGTTGTGTGTGTGTGTGTTTGTTTTTGTTTCCCACTGTGTGTGTTTGTTTGTTTGTTTGTTTGTTTGTTTGTTTGTTTGTTTGTTTGTGTGTGTGTGTTGTGTGTGTGTGTGTGTTTTTCCCTACTGTGTGTTGTTGTCCCACACGTTCGCTCCTTCGTTGTTGGTCGGAGTTTGTTGCGTCGACTGGTCGAGCCACAGGGAGACAGACGCAGAGTCCGAGGTCGACGGGGAAGTGGACGGGGGCAGACCTCGAAAGAATGGGGGAAGCTGCCGAGCAGGGGCAGAGAGTTTGTGAGACAGAGCGTGGTTCTGGTCTCGCGACATCCCCCGTGCCAGATCCTCAGGCTGCTTCGGCCAGGAGGGCTGGGCGGGGAGGCATCAACGATCGCATCGGAGTCGCCGTCGCATCAGCCGTGGCGGCTACCCTTTCGGCGGCTGATCGAGGGTCGTTGGGGCCAGGTGCTCATGTTCAATATTCGAGAATGTGCAGCATGAGCGCGCGCTTTCGGAGGTCCGCGCGGATTTTCTTGGTCGGTGCTGGACCACCCTCCCCAGGGCTGGCGAGGCGAGCCAGTGGCGGCGCCGCCGCGGGGGGCGATTCTCAAGCCAGGAGGCACTGCTTGAGGCAGTACGTTTCCAGTCGCAGCCGCCGCAGGGAGAGAGAATGCGACCCAGGAGGCACTGCTCGAGACAACACGTGCCCATCGACAGCCATGGTCTGGTCGGGCCGACGATGGTTTCTGGCGCGGGCCTGGGGTCTCCACCCTCGTCATGGGTTCGCTTGTTTGTGCAGTACTTGTCGATTGGAGGAGAGGGGGTCGAGGGAGGACGGGGAGGGCGCAGTCGAGGAATGAGGACGGGGAGGACGGGGAGGACGGGGAGGACGGGGAGGGTCGAGGGAGGACGGGGAGAGGCGAGGAGTGATTGTTCCAGAGGGCGCAGTCCGACGAGCGAAGGGGCAGACCGCGGGCGGGAAGCGACGGGGAGAGGAGGGAAGGAGTGGGGGAGGGGACGCCATTTCGCAGAAGGGGGTGACTTGCACAAGGGGGGGGGGATTTTCAGAGGAGAAGTGCCGCGTGCAAACATCAGGGGCCACGTCTGAGAGAGGGTGAGGCTCAGAGGGGGGATCCGTCGACCCCGCATCGCCCCTGGATCGCCGATACGGCCCCCCCGCGCGCAGGGAGGTGCGGATCTCCTGTCGGGGACTCACCGCGCATATACATCGGCGACGGAGGAGGAGGAGGAGGAGGAGGAGGAGGAGGAGGAGGAGGAGGAGGAGGAGGGAGGAGGGAGGAGGGAGGAGGGAGGAGGAGGAGGAGGAGGAGGAGGAGGAGGAGGAGGAAGAGGAGGAGGAGGAGGATGGAAGAGGAGGGAGGAGGAGGAGGAGGAGGAGGAGGAGGAGGAGGAGGAGGAGGAGGAGGAGGAGGAGGGAGGAGGAGGAGGAGGCCGAGGTTTCTCCCCTTCAGCGAAGGAGCAGAGGGGGCGGGGAGGCGCAGAGTGCCGGGGGCGAGGAGGGGCCGCTCTCTGGACCTCTCTTCTGGGCCCTCCTCCTCCTCCCTCCTCCTCCTCCTCCCTCCTCCTCCTCCTCCCTCGTCCTCCTCCTCCTCCTCCTCCTCCTCCTCCTCCTCCTCCTCCTCCTCCTCCTCGGTGTGGCTGCCTTGGCCCCCAGTGGGGGCTATCTTGAGCTGCACCGGGCGCTGTTGGGCCCTGCCCTGCGCGGCGCTCTCCGGCGGCTCGGGCAGGGGAGGACGGTGGACGCGCAGGGGGGGGAGCAATCGGACGGGACCAGGGCGAGGATGAGTCGGTTCCAGAGCGTTCCGGAGTGCTCCCAGGGCGTTCCGGAGCGCTCTAAGAAGGCCGCGGCGCCCGAAGCATCCTCCAGAGCCGCAAGATTCCAGAGATCCCCGATGTGTTTCCATCGATGTGTATTCTCGTCCTGCCCTCGTCTCAAGAAGGGGCGACGCTGAAGTCGGGCCTGTCCCTCTACAGGAGGGATGTTCAAAAGCAGGCACAAAAAACAGTCTGGGGACGAGTTTTCGACCATCTGCGAGCACTTTGGGGGAGAACTTGTTTGGGCCGTTTTTTATGTTCCGCTCCACATCCGCCCGCAGGGGGGCCTGCCCGACCCAGGGCGGCGCCCCGCTGCTCACGGGCGCGCGAGAGGTCCTCGCAGGAGGAGGACGCCGACGACGCGGCAGGGGCGCCGGCGCCGGGCGCGTACGAGGACTCGCTCCCTCCTCTCGGGCTGGGCCAAAAAAAGGGGGGCATTGGGAAGGGGGGGGGACGACATCTGCGGCGTGCAGCTGGCTTCGGCCCCATTCCTCGATACATCGCCGCCTCCGGCGCCGGGAAGCGCCGGGAGGCGCCGGCCCCAGGCGCGTACGAGGACTCGCTCCCTCCTCTCGGGCTGGGCGAAAGGTCGGGAGCGAAAGAAGGACGTACACGTACATGAATCCACGCTGGTTTCGAGAGTACAGTCGGGGCCCTGAAGAAGGAACCCCTTTGGTTGGGGAGGGGCTCCGCGTTCCTTAGTGTTTCACAGCGTGCCTCAGGTTTTCCTTATAGATTCGATAGGAAATCGAAGTTTAACTTATGGAAAAAAGGGGCCTCGTTCCTTATGTAGGGTTCCTTAGGTCAACGCCACGACTGTACAGGAGGGATATTCAGATCTAGTATCGCAAACGTCTGGGGACGACGTTGTGCTAAGTTTTGGGGGTGGCTCTGGAGACTTCCTACCCCGACGCGTCGATGAGCGATTGGCCGTTTTCGGTTCGCGAGAGGGCGTCGCGGACGTCATGGTTGCTGGTCCAGGTCCGTCGGTTTCGGCCCCAGGCCGTTTTCATGCAACGGTGGTTCACTGAAGGGAGGTTTGTCCACCGCCGAAGACTGGCAGATTGTCTTGGGCTTCTGGGTCCATCTCCTGTGTGTTGCAATCTGGCGCCAGCCCGGCGAAGCCCCATCCGATGCCGGCTTTCTCAGTCAGATTCTCTTGGCCGTCGCGTTCATGGTTTGTGGCCTTCTTGCTTTACGTGTGAGATCTATTGCGTCAGGGCGAGCCAGATTGCATCAGTTGACAGATTGCCAGATTGGCCAAATTGCAGCGAGTGCCAGGTTGCGCCAGATGTGGAACGCGGCCAAACTGGCACTGTTAGACAGCCGTCAGATTAAACAATTTCCCAGATTGCCAGATTGGCAACGAGAATATTTTATCTTGCGTGCACCCATGGGGGCGCCTGGAGAAGCGCGGGGGCCCCGTGGGGAACCGCGGGGAATCGTTGGGGAGCGCGTGGAACCGTGGAGAACCATTCAGGGTGCGTAGAACCGCGGGGAACCGTGCGGAGGCGCGTGGAGCCGCGGGAAGATGGAATCGTGGGGGCCAAAGGGCGGTACGCGGACCGTGGGGAACCGTTGGGAAGCGCCTTGGAACCGCGGGGAATCGTCGGGAATCGTACAGAAGCGCGTGGAACCGTCAAACATTGCGGTGTCAGCGCGTGGACTCTTGGGGAACTGCGTGGACCCGCAAGGGGAACCGCGGAGAAGCGCGTGGACCCGCGGGGAACCGTTGAGAAGCGCGTTGGCTGGGGAACCGTGTGAGAGCGCGTGGAACCGATGAGCCTGGGGGAACGCGTGGAACTGTCGGGGAGCGCGTGGAACGGAGGGGAAGCGTGTGGGAGCGCGTGGAACTACGGGGAGGTGGGGAAGCGCGTGGACACGTGGGCAACCGTGGAGGATCGCGTGGGCCCGTGGAGAATCGCAGGGGAGCGCGCGGATCTGTGGGGAGCCGTCGCAAATCACGTGGGCCCGCGAGGAGCACTGGAGAAGCGCGCGGGCCCGCGGGAGCGGTGTGAAACCGTGGCGGGGCGCGTGGAACCGCGGTATAACCGCGGGGGGGGGGGCGCGTGGGGTGCCGTCTTTGAGCGTCTTGGGTGCCCCGGGGTTCCTTTGAAGCCTCTCGGGAGCCTCGTAGGGACTTCCTGGGTGCCTCCTGGGGTCGTCTGCGCGCCTTTTGGGGCGATTTTGGGGCGCTCTTGGAGCCGCAGGAGCGCTCTTGGGGTCATCTCGCAGGAGATCGGTCGAAGAAGGGGGGTTCCTGAGTTACCCTCCCCCCTCGTGAGCTCCAAACATTGCCTCTTGGGGCGCTGTTGGAACGTTCTTGGGCGCTCTTGGGCCGTTTTGGGGTTTTCTTGGGCCTCTCCTGGGGCCATTCTGGGTCATCTTGAAGCCATCTTGAAGCCATCTTGAGGCCCCCGATGGCCATCGTAAGCGAAAAGGCGAGACAGCACAAAACACTGTTTGTTGCATAGGTTGTTTCAAGCTTTGGACCTCTTCGGCGCCTCCTTGGGGAGCGCTTTGGCCGCGTGGAGCCGCCTTGGGGCCGTCTTGGGGCCTCCTGGAGCATCTTGGGACCCATCTTGAGGCATTTTTGGATATCTTGAGCCATCTTGGGCCTCATCTTGGGCTTGTCGAGGCGCTCTGGGAGTCATCTTGGGCCATCTTGGACGCTCCAACCCCTCGCGGGACCCCTCGTCCAGGCCCATGGGAGGTCTGAATGGCTTTACGTTGGCTCCCAAGACCCAGAATTTACAGTTGTTGTTTGTCATACGGTTCCGGGGGAGACGTGCCATCCGTTGTTTCTGCGAGGTTGAATGGCCTTATGCTGAACCCCCAGGGTCACACAGTTTCAATTAGTTTTTCTCACGCGGTTTCGGGTGTGACGAATTAGCTGCCCCCCTTTGATGTCCTTCACGTTGACCCACATAGAGGCATGATCACTTCGTGTTCAAGACTGAGGTTTCGCGAGCGAAGCTCGGCATTGCGGCCTCCCTCATGGACCATCTGGACATTCCAGAACGGGCTCGACGTGAACATCTGCTCGTCATCGAGGCGGTCGCGCTTGCCCCGAAGGGTCGCCGCGAACTGAACGCCGTCTTGTTCCTTGAGGGCGCCACCACAGCTCCAGCGAAGTCCCCGTTGAGAGAGACATGCATGTTTACCGAGCTCTGCCTGTCGATGCTGATCCTGTCGTATGTCGACACGATCTGCAGCTCGCCAACCCTGCAGGCGCTCGTCACACTCAAGTTTACCTTGCCACTCTCCTGGGCTATGCGGGTGGCGTGATGCCACTACATCTGGCTGCGATGCATGTCGAGCTTACTTAGCTCGCAAACATTGGGGCGGGATCGGGGGGCCTAACATCGTGAGTGCGAGCGTCGCTCGCGAGTATGCTACACCGCGGGGCGCCTGCTGCTTTCACGCCAACTTCCCCCCGCCGAAGATCCGAGGTCTTCGACGGCGCCGAGTGCGATCCGCGAGCGCGCCTTCGTGTTCTCGATCGCTGTGCCCTTACTCGTGCGCCGACGCTTGTCGAGGCGCGCGCAATCGACAACCCGGCACGCGCCCATCGCGCGCAATCTCGCCACCCCGCCCCCCCCCCCCCCCCCCACCCACCCACTTGCGCCAAACAAACCCAGCCGGAACAATGCGACTCTGTCGGCGAGCAACGCTGGCCATAATTGGACTTTATCCATACAAAGAACTACGGCACATGCACCCTGACTTCGGTACTCACGGGCGCATTGTAGCCGTCGAGGACCTCGCCCATCTTCAGCGTGATGTCATCATCAGACGGTCCACGTACCCCCTGTCCAACTCGCGCCTGCCATCCTGCGCGCTCGCCCCGAGGCGGCGATCATGCTCGCCATGAGCGGTGGCGGTCGTGGCGTGAACCAATTGTCTAGCACGGCAGCTCGCTCTCGAACTCGCTCGGCATGCCGGGTGCTGCAATGTGTTTCGCCCAGTCCTCGGCCGTCTCGAGGCTCGGCTGCATCTTCGCGATCAGGCCTTCTTGGCGCGCTGTACCGTGGTGGCCTGGCGCGCGGCACCGTGGTCCGCGCTGCCGCTCTGGGCCATGAGTTTCCTCTGTTCTGGGCAGCGCGCCACCAACAGGGCGTTGATGACGTCATACTGCAAGCCGCGCTCCAATGGCTGCTCGAACGACGGCTGTCGCTCTCAGATGCGAGCCGTGGAGACGCGGCCGTGCTCATCCGATATATCCTGGTTCATCGACCGCGCCCCGCCGTGGATAGAACGCGGCGTGGCCGTCGTGCGCGAGCATCGCACAGTGGCGATCTGCAGCTCACTCGGGTCCTCGATCAGAGGGAGCAAGCCGTCCGACCCCACCGCTAACTTCACGCTGAAATTGCGGATAATGGCGTCGCCGTTTGGGATCCACTAGCCCATTTTGAGCAGGTTTGCGTAAGACGCGCGCACGATTGTCGATCCGATCTTGCGAGATGACGCTCGCAATAGCGCGCATGGCGCGCGTGTTTCGTTTGCGCCACTCTTGCTGCGCGAAACGCGGACGCGTGTTTGGACAGCAATTGGGAAATTGGCGCAAGCCAAATGGCTCTCGCACGCGAGCGCCCTCGACGTCTCGTCGTCGTCCCACTCTTGGCCACCAGGATGCCCAACAAGTCGTGGACGTCGAACGGTGCGAGTCCAGCTTCGTCGCGGTTGTCGGGGCGCACCCCCGTTTTCGTCGCGTGCACGTACTTCGACTCGCACAAGTCGTAATTCTTGATGGCTCCGAGGAGCCTGGCCTGAAATGCCGAGACGCCCTCGAGTTCTTGGCCAGCGCATACAGCTGAATATGCTCATTGATGAGTGGCGCCAACGCGGCGGCGCGCTCCTCCTTGTTCCGCTTCGACTTCACGCCAGCAGCGCTGGAATTACACATGCGCGCGTCGCGTGAAACTCTCCACGCGAGCAAAGCTCGCCATTGGGCAACGTTTGCATTATGCGAGCATACTCGCCAGCGTTGCAACGCCACATTTTACCGCGTCGTGCGAGCAAAGCTCTCCGCGGAAACTAAGGCGGGCACCTCCAACGCGGCCTTGGTTGCGTCGTCCGACTTCGTCATGACGATCGCGACGCGATTGTTATTGCTCGGGCACTGGCGGAAAGGGCGGCAAAGGCTGCGGCCTTGGTGCCAAAACGGCTATAAAGCATAACCGATAGCATCGTCGTCATCACCCACATGCACGTATCAGCGCGCGAGAGATGCTCGCTATGCAACGGCACGATCAAGCCCACTGGGTTTCCGAGGCGAGCATGCTCGCGATGCATAAATGTAAGATCTGCCCGTGTAAAATGAAAGAAAACAGCACAGACAACATATACGTATAATGTATGCTTGTTTTTTATAGAGCGCAGAAAACTTAGCAATGTTTCTTTTGAAGAAAAGGAGAAGACGCCAATTGGCATTTGAGTGTCTATGTTGAAAGTTACATTAGGGTAGTTATCGAATAGTTCGCTGCATGCTGATTTATGATCGTTATATGACAGTTTATGAATAGCTGAACAAAGTATTCATAAACGAGCGCATGACTATCCTACAGCTGTTCCTTAACTTTATACATCTTTTCGATATATATATATATATATATATATATATTCTGAGATAGTTTGGGCCTCTAAGTAGGGCCCCCCTCACTCTGTGAATCCTGGCCTGCCCCCCCCCCCCCCCATGCGACGCGACGCCTCCCGCCCTGGGCTCGCCGCTGTCCGCGGGGAGGTCGCGGCTCCGTTTGGCCGCTTCTCGCCGCGATTCGCGGAGCAAGCCGGCAAGGCGGGGCGGGAGGGAAGGGGTTATAGGAGACGGCACCGGCTCACCCTGGGGCCAGGTTGCCACGGGCACGAGGGTCGACCCAGCCGAAGGCGCTCGCCTTGGGCCGGGACCCGAGGCCGCCACCAACGGCGGCTCGCCTGGGCAGGGGGCGGAGCTGGACCCAGGCAGCGGGCTGGCCCAGCCGAGTCTCGGCACCCAGGCGGCCGGCAGCGTCGACCGTCAATCCGCTGCGCCGCGTGCGCGGCGCGACCCAGAGATCAGGCCCGCCGAGCTCCCTACGACCCACCGGGACTCCTCCCCCGTGAGCCCCAGCTTGGTTCCCCTGCGCCACGACGTTCCCCAACGCAGGTTCGTCGCTGGCTGCGGGGAGGGCGCCGCATGATTTCACCGTCTCTCGCCGCGACTAGTCGCGGGCGCGCTGGGCGCCCAAGGGGGGCGCGCGGGCCGTCGGGGACCGTTGGAGAGCGTCAGGGAGGGCGTGGAGAAGCGCGTGGGCTCGCGGAGGGTCGCGGCGGAACGCTTGGGCCCCTGGGGCAGTGCGGGGGCGCGCGTGGCACCGATGGGAACTGCGGGCAAGCGCGTGGAACCGCGGGGAAGCGCGGGGAAGCCAGCGGCGCCGCGGGAAAAAAATTGAGGGGGGGGGCGCGCGGGCCCGCGGCGAACCGCGGGGAAACGCGTAAAACCGTTGAGGGAAGCGGGGTTGGGGTGGAACCGCAGGGCAACCGCGGGGAAGCGCGCGAACCCGCGGGGCGCCGTTGGGAAGCGCATGGCATCACGGGGAATTGCGGGGCGGTGTGTGGGACCGTGGGGAACCGGAGGGGGGCGTGTGGAACCGCGGAAGCGCGGGGGCGCGCGCAACCGTGTGGGGCCATGGGGAAGCGCTCGGGCTCGTTGGAAACCGCGGGGAAACGCGCGGGTTTGTGGCGGAGCGCGCGGGGGGGCGCGTGGACACGTGGGGGGCCTTGGAGAATCGCGCGGGCCCGTGGTGAAGCGCGGGGTAGCGCGCGGTCTCGCTTGGGGGCCGCGGAGGGGTTTGGGGCGCGGGTCCGCGCGCAAATAGCTGGGGGGCGCGTGCCTCAGTGGGGGTTTTGGGGGGGGGCGCGCGCGGGCCCGTGCGGGGGCCGTGGCGGAGCGCGACGGAGCGCGCGGTCCCGCGGGGAAGTGCGCTATTTGGGGAACAGCGGGGAAGCGCGTGGACTCGCGGGGTGCCGCGGGGCGCGCGGGCCCGTGGGGGGCCGCAGGGGGGCGCGGGGTAGCGCGTGGACCTGTGGAAAACACAGAAGAAGCGCGTCACCCCGTTGTGACCAGCGGGGAAGCGCCCGGGCCCGTGGGGGGGCGCGGGGAAGCGCGCCGGTTTGCGCATAACCGTTGGGTAGCGCGTGGAATCGCGGGGAACCGAGGGGGGCGCGTGGAACCGTGGGGGGGGGGGGCTCGTGAACCCGCGGGGATGGGCGTGTATCCGTGGCGAGGGCGAGCCGTCGGGGATCGCGTGAAACCGCGAGGAACACGGAGGAACAGTGGGCGGTGGGGGGGCGCGTGGAATCGCTAGGAACCGCGCGGGGCGGGGGCGGGGGGTGGCGCGCGGACCCATGGGGGGGCGCGTGGGCCGCGGGGAACTTGCGGGAGTTGCGGGGGGGCGCGCGGGCCCGCTGGGGGCCGCGGGGAAGCGCGTGGAATGGTGGGGGGCAGTGGGTGGGGGGAGCGCGCGCGCCCGTAGCGAACCGTGGGCATACGCGGGGGGGCGCGGGGACCTGTCGGGGGCCGTGGAGAAGCCAGCGGGCCCCTGGGGCGCCGTGGGAAAAGCGCGTGGACCCGCGGGGGCCGCGGAGAAGCGCGCGGGCCCGCGGGGAATTTCGCAGGGGGGAATCCCGCGGACTTGCGGGGAACCGTGGGCAAGCGCGTGGGTTCGCGGGGAGCCGTGGAAAGCGCGCGGGCCCATGGGGGGCGCGGGGGGGCGCGGGGACCCGCGTGGAAGCGCGGGAAGCGCGTGGAACTGCGGGGGCACGCGGGGCGAGGGCGCGCGGGCACCGAAGGTGACTGTTGGGAACCGTGCGGGGGGGACGCGCGCATGGACCCGTGAGGAACTGTGGTGGGGCGCGTGGAACCGTCGAGAACAGTTGGGAAGCGCGTGGGCCCGTTGGGAACCGTGTTGGGGGGCGCGTGGGCCCGTGGGGAACCGTGGTGGAGCGCGCGTGCCCGTGGGAAACCGCGGGGCACCGCGGGGGGGCGCGTGGGCCCGCGGGGGCCGCGGGGACCCGTGGGGAAGCGCGCGGATCACAGAGTGCGAATGTTATCGCATTGGGTCCGTGCGACCATGTTGATCAGATTGTAACCTGTTCCAGATTGAACATCGCGTTGCGCGCCAGTTTGACTTGTAAGGGCCGCCAGGCTTCATGTTACACCAGGTTGCTAGGTTGGGCACTTCGCCAGATTGGCCAGGTTGGTTTTCGATCCAGGCAGCCATACGGGAATGCTTGCCAGTTCGGTATTTTCCCGACAAGGGATGCGCCATGTTCTTTCGTTTCAGCAATAGCCAGGTTGGGCCATCTGTCAGATTGCGTATTCATTTGTATATATTGGAGTTCGCTTCTGTTTGTAAGATTGGGATCGCATGGGTTTCCGCGCCAGATTGCCACATCGGGCCCGCCAGATTGGCGCCATATTGGTTGTTTCCCTACGGGGTGATGACGACTGGTGTGTTCAGATGAGGAAGAAGCACCGATATTGCTACCCAGGCTTTGTTTTCGCCCTGTTGGGCCTCGTGGAAGGCCCTCGTCGTCACGGTTGGGTTCGCCTCGGAATGTTGGTCAGAACACACCCAAGGATACCTCAGTGGAGAAACGGTATCGGTACTTCATTCCATGTCGATGCAGGGACCATGCAGTTTCGCAGGAAGTCCTCGCCCTTCCTTTTTGTTCCAAGCACGTCCTTTGTCCCCCCCTGGGCCGCGCACGTGCCTCGGAACAAAATCTGCGTAATCTTTTGTTGGACGCCCTTTTTTCGTGGACGCCCCGGCGTTCCCAGCGCTTTCACTAAACTATTCAAGGTGTTCGTTCGCGTCTGTTCGGCCACTGGAGGACACTTCTGGGTTCCGCGGCCGTCAAGCATTTGTCCTGTGGGTGGAAGGTGTGCCGTGTGGAAGGGTCGGGAGTTGAAGCCCCGACCCCGACCACGGATTTCCCAGACATTTCCGTGTTCTTTTGCGGGCTCCTTACGTTGATCGGGGAAACGTGAGATTCGAGTGCGCCAGAATTTCGGGCTCGCCTACATCTTTTGATAAACCCACCCTGGATTTTGACGGTCGAGTTTTCGTGGGATGTCTGCAGCGGGAGTTCGCGTCAAATTTCATAGTGAGTCTCGTATGTTTTTGCAGGCCTCGTCGGGCCAACCCCCAGCCCCTGGAACCCGACTCTTACCTTTCGCCCAAATCCTCGACGCTCCTCCTAAGTCTCCGCTCCGCCCCTGCTGGGGAGGCCCAAGGGGGCAGGGTTCAAGCTAAACGGTGTTTTGAGCGACTTCGTGGACCGTCTTCGCTTTGATTTCGTTTTGCAGCGGAGGCAGCTGGACAACACAACGAACGTAAACGAAAGCAGAACGAACACGAACAACACATGGTTCAGCTCGAACCCAGCAGGGGGGGTGGGGGGGCGGATGTCCTGGAAACCGTCGGTGGGGAGGCGGGCCCTTGTAGAGGCTTGGCCCCGAGATGCCTCGCGGCCCTCAGTGGGATGGCCGTGCTGAGTACTGAGTTGCACGCGGACGGGTGCGTCGGGTTCTCGGAGGGCTGCCCCCTCTCATCCCTTCCCTTTTTCCTCCTGATCCCTCCTCGCCCCGCCCGGGCTGTCGGCGAACCCCCCCCCTTCCCATCGAGTCCCACAGCGGTGGCATCGTGGACACGCTGGAGGAACTCAGAGAGAAGGCGCGCCCGTGGCGCGAGCCAGCCACCCCAGGGTGGAGAGGGGCGGAAGTGGAGACAGAGAGGGTGAGAAAACACACAGACTGTGGGACATAAACACACATTGTGGGAAACAATACAAAACAAACACACACAGTGTTTTTTTTTTTTTGTGTGTGTGTGTGTGTGTGTCTGTGTGTGTGTTTGTATGTTTTTTTCCTCACAGTCTCTGTGTGTGTGTTCTTCCCCACCGTGTGTTTTGTGTGTTGTGTGTTTTTTCCCACTGATGTGCGCTCTGCGAGTAAAGATGGGGTCTTCCTGCCCGCGTCCGCAAGAGCACTGGGGTGCCCCCGTGCTCCCTGCGGGCGCACCGTGGGGAAGCATGCGCCTCGGGCCCAACAGCAGCGGCTACAGAGCTGCCCGGAGGAGCCGGAGGGGACAAGTTTCGGGAGCCTCGAGACGGGGGTCAATGCAAACGGGGGTCAGCCAGGGCGCCAGATCTTGCAGGATCCTGCAAAGGCCCCCTCTGGCTGACCCGGGTCAGGGAACCGCTCGTGGCCGCGAGGCGGCCGCGCGTATTGGCTGACCCGGGTTTGCGAGGATCTGCGTTGCAGTTTTTTTGTCCTGCATTGCAGTTTTTGGTTTCCTGCTGACCCGGGTCTGGATTGACCCGGGTCAGAAGGTCCCCGAAAGTTCGCTGACACAGCATTCCGTTGGGTGGGATAGGGTGTGAGAGGAAGAGAAAAGCAGAGAAAGAGAGAGAGAGAGAGAGGGAGAAGAAGAGAGAACGAGAGAGAGATAGAGAGCACACGAAACAAAGAGAGACCGCCGCTGACATTCACCGTGCGCGCGGGTGGCCATGGCACCCCCCGTACAGCTCAAGAGTCAGCCCGGGAGGGTACAGGGTGCGCGTGACGCTCGCGATGGCCCCGCTGGAAAAAAACCAAGGAGTGGAATGTGGTGTACGCCTGCGGGCGGAAGACTTGCACGTGGACGCCCACACAGTCCAGAAGCCGCTGCAGTCGGTTGGCCTCCCTTGGGTATTGAAAGTGCACCGTGTAGTATGCTTGACTAGTGTGCATTGCGTTCGGCTCCTGAACCATGGAAGCGAGGGTCGCGAGAAACGTGGCCCCCTTCACTGGCACCGTATCGGACATTTGTAAAGTTTCGTCCCTTGCAGCCACCCCAAGCGTGAAGAACGATTTCGAAAACATGCCAATGCACATGAACACTACTGCCGGCAAAACTGAGCCTTTTTTTCCAGCAGCGCCCGCGAGAAGGCGATCCATCACCTCGCCACGGATCAGCGGTACCACGGTCGAAAACGATCCAGCGTTGGATGATTCGCATGCTGTCGACACCAATCGGCTCGGCGCCGCGCTCAACACGGGCGCGTTCGCTTTGCCACGCGCAGTCGACGGCGGCAGGAGCCAGACTTCAAAAAGCTCGGGGGAAGTGGATGAGATCAGAGCCCCGAATCATCAGGGGTAACTCGGGTCAGGGATAACTCGGGTTCGTTTTTCGGGAATCCAAACCCGAGTTACCCCGGACCCGAGTTATCCCGGATAATTCGGGCGTCCAGAGCCCCGAATCATCAGGGGTAACTCGGGTCAGGGCTAACTCGGGTTGGGTTTGTCGAGATTCCGAACCCGAGTTACCCCGGACCCGAGTTACCCCGGATAACTGGGGCGCCCAATGAGAGAGAATGTATATATATATGCTTTTGAAGACACCAAGGCCATCTTCTGCATGGCACGCCACCTGCTCGGCTGCGCTGGAGATGTCCGGGGGCGGCCCAGGGGCCACCTGCGACTTCCAACTGCTGGCCCGATCCTCGACGACTCCAAGCGACGGTTTCGCATCGATTCAGAGCCCCGAATCATCAGGGGTAACTCGGGTCAGGGATAACTCGGGTTCGCTTTTCGGGAATCCAAACCCGAGTTACCCCGGACCCGAGTTACCCCGGATAATTCGGGCGTCCAAGAGCCCCGAATCATCAGGGGTAACTCGGGTCAGGGATAACTCGGGTTCCTTTTTCGGGAATCCAAACCCGAGTTACCCCGGACCCGAGTTATCCCGGATAACTCGGGCGCCCAATCGATTGAATCGGGTACGAGAGGATGCAGACAGCATTGCTGCAAGCACTCGTATCCTTCGCGTAGCCTTCCGCATGTGCTTCGCCTCGCCACAGCAGACCAACGCGAAGAAGCCGTGGGCGTCTCGCCCGACGATCTCTGCGGGCGAAAAATTTCGGGCTGGATTGCAGGGCGATAGTCGACCCGGTCGCGCACGAAAGAGTTGAGCCAGAAGAAACGGATGTTCGGGAAACAGTTGAGGCGCCTAAATGGAAGATCGGCGCAGGGAGACAGTGCGCGCCTTGCGGGGCGCCATCGAGCGATCGTGCAGCGCGCAACAAAAGTTTCGCGGTGCCGAGAATTCCTCCGATAGGACCCAGTTTGCCGAGCTTCTGCGCGCGTTCTGCCGTCAGAATGGCGCGGCGTGGCCAGGGTTCCCGCATCGGGGCGCAGAGCTCGAGTCGAAATTCTCGTGCGAGCCGCGTCGCGCCAACCCCCGCGGAGGACCAGCGGTCTTCTTGCCGCGAGGGGTGCCGGGATGGGCCCGGGGAGGCCGAGGGCGGCCAGGCGCGTCGCGCGCGCGAGGGCCTGTCAGATTTGCGCGATGGCGCGTCAATAAGGCAATGAGGGAGCAAGGGGCGTCCTCCGAGGAAGAGGAGGAGGGGGCGACCAGCGGCGGCAAACCTGACCCCGACCGCAAGAGAGAAGGGCCAGAGGTACTAGCCGGGTGCGCGGGGCGCCCAGGGACGAGCAGATCCACGCGGGGGCGATCATCGCCCCCGCGTGGATCTGCTCGTCTCCTGTGAGAACACGTCTGCTGTGAGAACATCGCCCGGCGATGTTCTCACGGCAGACATGGCTCATTGCGCGGGCGCGCCTCGCGGCAGTGTTCACGCCCAGCTATGACATCGATGGCGGACTGCCCTTCTGGCACCCCGCTGCCCCCCCCGCGGCTGCCGGAGGGCCTGCGACCGGGGGCCCCGCAGCGCCGGCCCGAACCCATGTCCGCTATGTCTATTCGTGTTGTTGAGGAACCGAATTGTGAGTTACGTGCGTCTCGTTCCCAGTCACGCTGTCGGCGTGCATGCATGTGCCCATCGCTTAGGCTGTTACTGCGCGACGCGCTATGACGTAGGCGAAGCTCTTGGGCGAGGGGCGCCAGGAGCGGATGGCGGAGGAATTTGACAGTTCGGGCGACTCGGGCGAGAAGAAGAACAGGAAACATGGACGTTGATAAGGGGCAGGAAGAGATCTCCACCGAGCTATTGCAGGGCCCCGAGGCCGGCACCAACGTCGACGAGGCCAAGGGGCCTCGCGGCAGCGTCTCGAGCCCCCCGCCTCGGAATCCCCGAAGTTTCAGATCCTGAGCAGGGCGACGCCCCGCCTGACGCGGCCGCGGCGGGCCCGCCCGCGGCGGCGCGCGAGGCCCCGCCTGCGGAGGTGCCCGAGGGCCCATTTTTTCCGGCGCCCGAGCGTCCGCCCGCGAAGGTACCTGATGTCCCGACCGCCGATGTATTTCAGGCCGTCGAAGACAACGAAGGGCGCGCCGCTGGTGCCCGGACTTGCATGTCTCTGCAGGCGGCGAAGCCTGACTGGGAGTGCGCCCGGATTTGCGCGTCGCTGCAGGCGGCGAAGCCCGCCTCGGAGGACGAATCACGCGAGTCATATTCTAATTCGGACACCGCATTAAGAGTTCGGCGAATCATAGTCCTAAGCCCGACGAAGAAACGCAGGAAACAAAGGAAATGGCCGATGGGGTTCATGCTAGCCGCGCCAGCGCGCCCGAGGCCCGTCCTGCGCAGCGCCGAGTGATCGAGGCTGACTTGGTGCACCTCCTGCTGGCCCCTGTCCCTCTCGGTATTATCACCGATAAGCTGCCGCAAGTGTTTGGGGGGATTTGCGGCCAGCCTGCCGAGGTGTTGGCGTCGCCAAGGGGGCCAGCAGGCGCCCGAAGGAGCGCTTATGCGGCTGGGGGCCGAGAGCGAGGGCGCAGCCTGCGAGGGCCTGGAGCGCGCTGATCGCAGCAATTATGGCTCACTCCTGCCCGCGCCAGAAAAAGAGGGCATGGGCTCCCAGGCAGTCGCGCCAAGCGTTGCCAGGAAGCCGACGGAGGCGCGCGACTCGGGCGCGCGCAATCCCCGGCAGGCCAGGCCGCCAGCGGCCGCGGGGGGCCTCAGCGGCGATGTATTGCTCGGCCAAATCAGAACGCTATCGCACGAGCATCGCCAGATCACCGACATGGTCCCTCCGTCCACGGCGCAACGAGATGGGGCCCCGCGAGTTCCCCGGCGCGTCTCGCACGCTGGCGCCGTCGCGGTTCCGCGAAGACCGACGCGCGCATTGGCGCAGTAGCGTCGGCGACGAGGAGGCCGAACGGTTGGCGTCGCCAATCGTTAATTTGGCGGGGCGCCGCGCGGCGGACGCACTCCGCTCGGGCGGATGGGCGGCAGCGAGATTCATTCGGAGGGCGGGTGATTGTTGCGACAGATATCGGGCGCGCTTCTTGCGCGCCCTAGCCATGCTGCCCGTCGATAAAGCGCAGGCCCTCAGCGTCGAGATTGCGGCAGACGACGCAGGCGCCGCCGCCGCACCGCCCACCTTGGACGAGGGCTTCGGTCGCGAGCGGCCGTCTGTCGGCTGCGTCGCCGGCGGCCTTGAGAACGAGGTGCCCGCGATCTTACGTCGCCGTTGATCCGCGCCCGCAGAGGCCGCCCACTCCGAGTGATATTGCCCGAGCGGATCCGCGTCGAGTGCGAGCCGCCAGTCGGGCATCGGCGCGCGGCCATCGTTGCTCCGCTCGACGTCGCCTCCGCGATCCAGTCGATGGTTGGGGGGTGCCACGCAGAAAGATATCTCTGCGGGACGAGACAGCGCAGGTGCGTCAGTGCCCTTTCCATTCGGAGAACATCTTAGTCGGCCGTCGACGACTGCGTCGTCGAAGCTGGGGAG